TGGATGTTCAAATATGATGTGCTTGGGTGATGTAACATCAAGAAAAGATTGGGAGCCAAATCATATTTTTGAGCCTTGTTGCTGCTGCTCAAAGCAAACCTCATCTCGGATTCTCTATGAGCTGAATTTTTGAAGGCTGTTTTCACAATACCTAAGCCAATTCCTTGCTCAAAACACTCCTTTTTTTTTTGGCTTTTTTCCCCCCATTTGAATCCCCTAGACATCCAAGTGAAGGAGCTGGAGAAACGTGCCTCTGGGCAGGCGTTTGAGCTGATACTCAGTCCCCGCTCGAAAGAAGCTGTTCCAGAATTCCCTCTGTCTCCCCCAAAAAAGAAGGATGTGTCATTGGAGGAGATTCAGAAGAAGTTGGAAGCGGCAGAAGAGAGACGTAAGGTAAGTTTGAAGCAGCTCAAGTGAAGCTTAGCTCAGAGGTTATGTTGGTTTGGGGATTTTTGGGGTATTTTTTTGGTGGTTGGGCTAAGTGATCAGCAGTTGCTCTTATGGTAAGTGGAATATTAATGGAGCTACTTTGGAATCCCTGAGGCTCCTGTGAGCTTTTGGTATGGGCATGGCTTCATTCCCAAAGTGGTTTTTCAATGGTCAGTTGAAGAAAAACAGGGAAAAATCATCTAGTTACTGGGGCAGATCTTACAGGAAGAAGCTGTTTTTCTTGTCTTTAACACCAGAACAGATGAATTTTCTCTTAGTGCTGAATCTGTAATGAGAAGTTTGGGAGTTCAGTGTCTGATTGTTGGTATTGCCTGGAGCCCTTGACAGTGCTGAGGCTCTGATTGAAGTGAGCCTGACCTGAATCTCAGTGATTCACCACACTGAGGAGTGAGAATCTTCAAGGAAACATCCATCAATATTAACATCAAAAAAATCCATGTTCTCTCTCCAGAAAAAAAAAAAAATCCCATTTAACAAGATTTGCAAGTAGTGACAGAAACTGAACTTCCCAGGGAGCTCTTGATGGTGAAATTCAGGTTGTGTGGGTGGGGGAAGCACCAGGTCCTGCGGCACCAAGTTGCTGTTCCCAGTGAAGTGGCAGAAAATGTGTTCTCTGAGGAGCTTGGAGCAACTCTCCTTGTCTGTGTGGTTCATGTGCTTTGCCTTCAAAGCCTTCACCCTGTGTTTTGTCAGTCCCATGAAGCAGAAGTCCTGAAGCAGCTCGCTGAGAAGCGAGAGCACGAGAAGGAGGTGCTGCAGAAAGCCATCGAGGAGAACAACAACTTCAGCAAAATGGCAGAGGAGAAACTGACCCACAAAATGGAAGCCAACAAAGAGAACCGTGAGGCACAGATGGCTGCGAAACTGGAGCGTTTGCGGGAGAAGGTGGGTGTGGAGTCCCAGTCCCCTGGGACTGGGAGGGTGTCCACGCTCCTGCTGTGGCTTTGGAAGCTTCTCCCAGGGAGCAGGTGACAGGAGAAGAGGCACTGGGACTATGGCCATGCTTTGAAAACTTCCTTGAACCTCTTCTGGGACTATGGCCATGCTTTGAAAACTGCCTTTAACCTCTCCCAGGCAACTAGGACATAGCCTCGAGCTGTGTCAGGAGAAGTTTAGGTTAGACATCATGAAGACTTTTTCTTCACAGAAAGGATGATTAGACACTCATGTGCTGCTCAGGGAAGAAGTGGTAGAATCGCCATCCCTGGAGGTATTTAAAGAGAGACTGGACATGGCACTGAGTGCCATGGTCTAGTTGGTGGTGTTAGGTCATAGGTTGGAGGTCTTTTCCAACCTGGTTGACTCAGTGATTTCAGTAAAAAAAAAAAAAAAAGCCAAATGGAATGGCCATGTGATGAGATGCTATGAATAGATGGATGTTCCTGGGAGACTCTGCTGGTCCAGTCTGGGAAGGTTATTAATTCTGCAAAAGGCTTTGCAGAGCTGTGTGAGGGAGAGGGGATGGATGGAGTGGGAGCAGTGTCTGCTCTAAAGCTCCACCCTGTGCTGCCCCCGTGGTGGGTTCCTACTGGGAGCTGTGCCCAGCGTGGATCCATCCCTTTCCCTAAGGAAAGCTAACATTCCTTAGGGAAAAGGAAACCTTTCCTGAAAAGGAACCCTAACCTGCTGTTATCTTCCAGGACAAGCATGTGGAAGAGGTTCGAAAGAACAAAGAAGGCAAAGACCCTGGTGAGGCCGAAACCGACTGACTTCCTTCTGGAAACTGACTCTCCCCCTCCTCTAAATATCCAAAGACTGTACTGGCCAGTGGTTTTATCTTTGGTTTTTTGTTTGGTTATCTATTTTTTTTTTGAAGTTTCTAGAATCTGATGTAGAACTGTAAAATTAGATCCCAACTGTACACTTGCTTTGGGGGCTAGAGGGGAGACCTTCCATGTGTCACTTTTCTAAAAGTGTTGTCTTTCCAGTGTAGCTTTCTTCTTGTTGCATCCTTTTCTACGCCAGTGCACTCGCTCCTGGGTTGATGGCAAGTACTGTATCAGCTCTGTAAGATCTTTGTGCAAGGAATCTGTAGTAACTGTTCCATGCTGAATATCTGTTACACTGCAAAAAAAAAAAAACCAACCCCAATATCTGACTCTGTCCCAGTCTGCTAAAATACTGCTGTAACTGAGTGACTCAATAAAGCTGCACAGTGCTGTATCCTGAGAGTTACTTTGGAACAGAAAGGAGCTGCCTGAGGTCCTGTAAGTGGGGGAATCTTCACCCAGTGGGTGGGAAGGGCTGGAGCAGCACATTTTCTTGCTCCCCTGGGTGTGCTGCTGTGCCCCAGAGCACAGCATTGTCTCAGTGGGACAATCAGAGCTTTGTTTTGACACCTCAGCAGTTGTCAGCTGTTGTGTGTTTTTGTTCAGAGGGTTCAGAGCCACCTCCCCATGGCTGTGACACCCCAACAAACAGTCCTTGTTCCCACATGACTGGTTTTTTGGGAAGGGTTTCTGGGCCATGACTTGTGTTGCTGAATGGGGATTTGTGTGCCTCATCCTGCAGTGTCAGAGGGTAAAAGTGAGAAGAAACCTGTGTCTGCTGGGATGGTCAGGCTGCCCCAATGGGAAAAGGGCTGTTGTGGATAAGAATCACTTTTGTGTTGGGATAGAACACTGAACTGAGGTTAACTCCTGCCCCAAACCACATCTGTGTTGTCTTGGTTTCTTCAGGGGTGGGAGGTACAGGTACAACTGTCCTTGTGCTCTGAGGAAAGGTGATTTTTGGGTGGACTGGGTACAAAATTGCTGTTAGACTCCAAACCCTTCCCCCAGGGACATTTAGAGCTGTTTTGCTGCCCTGCAGTGAGGGTGTGAGCAGACACCCAACCTCCTCAGCACAGACAAAGCTCTCAGCTCCGGGTGCTCAAATGTTTCAGCTTCTGAATGTGGCTCAGTCCTGTTTTCCCTCTGTCTTTGATCCTGAGGCTTAGCTCTCAGCTTTGTTTCCAGGTGAACTCCTCACCTGACACTGCCCAGGAGACACTTAGTTATTGGTTTTCTAAGGGACTAATGGAGTCCTGGACCACTTGACCTGTCATGTGGTTCTTGCTGAAGAAGGAGCCTCAGTTTAGAAAGCTTTCCTGTATCCCTCTTGGCACTTCCCATGGCGACTGAGCTGCTCTTAACCCAAAGCTGATCGTGCAGTCTGAATGCAAGAGGAGCAGTGAGAGGGAGCCTGGCTGGAAAGCTGGAGCAGGTCCTTTCCCTGAGGGATTTCCAGAAGTGTTTGGATGCTTCATAGTTGGAGGTAAGAGAGTCTGTGCTGCTCCCTGGTGGGGAGTGAATGTCCATCTGCAGAGGGACATGGTGCAGAGGTTGGGTTTAGTGGTTTATATCAATACTGAATAGGCTAAGGGCACTGGGATGGGGTCAGGATTTGTCCTGGAGGGGGATAAGGGCACAGGGATGGGGTCAGGATTTGTCCTGGGGGGGATGAAGGTACAGAGATGGGGTCAGGATTTGTCCTGGGGTGGGGGATGAGGGTACAGGGATGGGGCCAGGATTTGTCCTGGGGGGATGAGGGTACAGGGATGGGGTCATGATTTCTCCTGGGGGAGATGAGGGCACAGGGATGGGGTCAGGATTTGTACTGGGGTGGGGGGATGAGGGCACAGGGATGGGGTCAGGATTTGTCCTGGAGCGATGAGGGTACAGGGATGGGGCCAGGATTTGTCCTGGGTTGGGGGGATGAGGATACAGAGATGGGGCCAGGATTTTTCCAGGGGGATCAGGGCACAGGGATGGTGTTGAGGTCTATCCAGGGATGTGAGGGCAGGGGAATACAGAGCTGAACTTTAGGGTAAGGACTCAGAGGAGAAGTAAATACCTGGTACTGCATAATGGAGGCTGAAGTGTTCCCTGGATCAGATCCCACGTATGAGATGAGGCACAATTAGCAATCAAACCCCCCAGATCATTATTTTAACGTTCTCAGCAGATGAGCAGTGTCCCAAATACCGTGGGGGGTGGGTTTTCCTCCCCTCTCCAAGGGCTGTAGGAGGAGGATGGCAGCACTGCCAAACCCCAAATGGCGTTAGAGCCCGAAGAGACGCTAAACACGAGTTTTTTTGGTCTTGCCAGAGCTGTCAGATCACAGCTCGGAGCCTTCTGTTCCCTCCTCTTCCTTCTGCTCTGCGTGTCTGCTGCGTTCCTACCTAACTGCGGCTCCACAACCACAGCCTAAGCTTGGTCTGGTCCCCCCGAGTGCTGCTGGGGGTGGATTTTTGAGGGGTTCAACTGGGAGGGACAGGAGTGATCGCAGAGCAGCATAAGGATGGGGAGGGGGGAGAACTCGCAGGGAGGAGACGATGCTGGAAAACAGATAGGAGGATGTCTCTGGTGGGGAAAACTGGGATTGAACCAGGTTCCTTCAGGAAAAGAAAAAAAATATAAATAAAAGCTTGGCAACTTATTTCCATCCTGCGTACGGAGGGCAAAGGCGATGGGGGGATAGGAGCACCGGGAGGGACCGGGAGAGGAGGAAGCGGCGGGGCCGGA